CACAGTTTTAAGACGAGGTTTGATAAAGCTCATGGAGCGGGGAGAGAGAGGGCCCAGTAGCAACCGGTGAAGAGGCGGGGCCAGGAGCTAAGACTCGACCCCTGCAACCATAAATAGGCGAGTACAAATAGGTGAGTATACACACACACACACACACACACACACACACACACACAGGAGCTAAGACTCGACCCCTGCAACCACAAATAGGTGAGTACACACACACACGTAGGAGAAAGTGAGAGGGATGAGTTGGCTGCATATTTCTGGACTGTAAGAAGACATTTTATGCAGTAGTGTACGGGAGACTGGACCAAAAGTTAGAGGAGCGCTCAGAAATAACAGAAGAAGCACTACATTGGATCAAGATTAAGAAGGAAATAACGTGTGTTTGGATAGGAAGAGGTAGCGGAATGGGGACATTTGGAGCATGGGGGTTCCACTAGGGTTAGTACTGACTAAAGTATGGACGATTTAGTCCTGAAAGCATCCGATTTCAAAAGAGTGGTGTCTTATTCAGTTATGAGTGATGCTAAAAATAATTTCAACATGTTCCGGAGAAATGGAATCACTCGTTTTATTAACGAAAAAAATATGTTTAGTAATAGCAGAATTGTTATACAATATATTAAAAGTGACAGAAAAAATGAAAAAAAAATCTTTTGAAGCTAACGATGGTACGAAGGGAACTACAGTTGAGAGGGAAAATTAGAAAAGTAAGCATAAGAGATAAATAAGAGAATAAAGGACAAAATACTTGGGCCAAAACAAGAAAACACCGCAACGAGAGACAGAGAGAAAATAAGAGAAGCCCAAATAAGAAAATGACACTTGGAAGCCACGAAGAGAGAGCCAAAAACCAAGTATAAAGATGTTGTAGCCATTCTGGACCGTCTCGGCAGGCCCCTGTATCACACACACACACACACACACATGCATACGCGCGCGCGCGCACACACACACACACACACACACACACATACACTTAGTGACAGATTAATGGAATTAATTACAAGCGGATGTAATTAATGCTTCAGTCATTGGAAATGCCAAAAGAATTATACGAAGAACAAATTACTGAAGTCGGGACGCAATGGGCACAGCTCTGATTCTACAGTTACAAATAGGTAATTGTATACACACAAACACACACACACACAATTCACTATAACCACTCTGGTACCCACGTGACCTAAAATACATTAAATAGGTCAGAAATTAAGTCAGATTGCCACAGCAGTTTCACCACTCAGATCATTATACATTCAACTAATACATTAGGAAGCATTTTACTCTGGCGAAGGAAAAAATCATTAGAATCACAAGAAGTTCATGTGTTATGGCAATATAGCAATCTGTATGTCTCGTCTTAGATACGATTCTCCTATAAGACTCAAATAATTAATGTTAATGTATTCGTCGAGAAGCAATGAGACTCACAGGAGTTATACAATGAGACTCACAGGAGTTATACAATGAGACTCACAGGAGTTATACAATGAGACTCACAGGAGTTATACAATGAGACTCACAGGAGTTATACAATGAGACTCACAGGAGTTATACAATGAGACTCACAGGAGTTATACAATGAGACTCACAGGAGTTATACAATGAGACTCACAGGAGTTATACAATGAGACTCACAGGAGTTATACAATGAGACTCACAGGAGTTATACAATGAGACTCACAGGAGTTATACAATGCCTGTAAAACTCTAGACGGCGCTTGGAACATTAATGTTGTGTGTGACTGGCGCATAAGATTGTGGGGGTGCTCACTTAGCTGAGATCACAGGGAATGAAATCACGAATAAAAAATCACTATACCGTGGCTGGAACACTTATGAAAGAGTGGCTTGTAGTGATGAAAGGATGGGCGAAACGTCCCCCCCAAGTTTCTCCCCCCCCCAAGTTTGGGTTGTTTGGGTAAGGAATTACTTTTACTGGCGTGTCTATTCTTCTAGATACTGTCACCTATTGTCATATATTTACTCCTCAGAGGCATTTAAAATTTAAGGTTAAATGTGCATTCAGAACAAAACGAAGATTCTTAGTGTATGCCATAAACCAACGTTTCCTAACGTATTCATAAAGTAAAAAATATATATGAAACTTCAAAATTTCACTAATATTTAAAAATATATATGAAAATTTCATAAAAATCCATAACATTAGTAACACTCGAGTTTTAGGAAGCTGAAAGACTGAAGTATGGAGAAAAAATTCATAGTTTTGTGACCTAATTAAAAATTTACTTCTGAATGACTGATGGAATTGTGATGATATTTCTATTATCATTCGTTAAATGAAACAAAAATAAAACTTTCATCAGCATTACACAAATAACCTGCACATGGAAGAGAGGAGTTTACGACAATATTTCGGTCCGAGTTCGATCATTTACAGAGTCACACTGTTATTTTTTATCAGCATCTTTTAATTATCTAAGTGGTTCAGGGATTAGGGTGCCCACAGCCAGGTCTCACGTCAGGTCTC